CACAGACAGGCGACAGGGGCGAACGTGTGAGACTAGAGCAGGCTTGCTCCGCCTCTAGCAATCTCGTCGCCGGCCGCAAGGCACGGACGAGACCGTGTGTGGGGTCTTGTGAGGTGTCTATGGACGCCCTCCTCACAGGCTATTGGCCAGCCGCTAGCCCTAACTCGCACTCATGGGTGACGACAGTTCATTGGATGAGTGGTTGCGAGCAGAGGCGCGTGTGCTGAATCTAGATCGCACGCCGTGGCATATGACTTGGGTAGGCGTGCGACCGCAGCGCGCCCGCCGAAGGCTCGACCGGGCGCGCGTGTCAGCCAGAACTTTGCCAGTAGAGCGATCCTGGTCTTTCCGAAGACGAGCCCCGCGCCACAGGTGCCAGCCGTGCCTCCGCGGGAGCCGCCTCTCGAGCCGCGTCCCGCCGGCACTGTCCCTGAGTGCGTCCCGCCTTGGTTGGCGACACGCACTCGACGAGGGCAGTCCAGCCGACGGGAACGTGTCGCGCGCCGGCGACGAATGCGGCGGGGTGGGTGTGGGTACCGAGCGCCGCTTCGACGAAGCGAGGTTGGCAGGCGCCCCTCACGAGTCCGTTCAGACATGCCACACGCCCCTCGCAAGCGAGGTTAGTAGGCGCCCCTGGCGAGACCCGCAAGAGATGCCACACCACCCTCGTACCTGTGTTTGCGCTCGGCAACGAAGGCGCTCTAAAAAAAATCGAAACACTCACTGCGCACCCGCTCTCGCCGCGAGCGCCTGCTCAAAGGCGGTTGCCATTTGCATGGTCGTTCACCTTGCGCCCCGTCAGCCGCGTGGCATTGATTCGCTGGTCTCACCGCGTCAATCGTTTGTTTACAGGTCTACCACTCGAGCCTCAACGGCACGGAGACCGAGGTTGCCTGCGGCTGTGCGATCCTGCCCCTCAAGACGAGCATCCGCGGGCCTGCCGAGTCGGCGGCAGAAGGTGCACTCCGCCGTCCGGCGCCTGCCGCCGGCTCAGCCTTTCCGCAGTCAGCCTCGCCGGGCCGCAGGTGAGGAAGATATCGTCGACGAGACGCTCGGTTACTTCAAAGCCAACGTCCTCTTCAAGCACTTTGAGGTGAAGGGCGCGGCGGACCGAACTCTAATCTACCTGACGCTCTA